AATCGGAGGAGGTGAGAGTTTTTACTTCGCTGGAATGGGAGGGTTGTGGGTAATTTGAAAAGATGTGGGAGTTAAGGTTGGTTATTTTTTTAGAGAGATCATGGGTTGTGTGAAACGTGGGTTGGTTATTCATTTTAATTATTTATAAACTTAGGTTACTATTCATTTTAGCTTCCCTATTATTCTCCTTTAGTAATAAAGAAGTAGATATAGTTTTGCTTTGAGACTTCTCTATTTGTCAATAAAGTTTCTTTTAAAATGAAGTTTATTGTAATCCCACAGGCTTAGCATGTACTTTGTGCACGTGTTACCGTTGTCATGCATCTCAAAATAAGCTATGCATTTTGGGGGTGTGACATGGATAAGACATGATGTGTGATACATATGCCTAGATTCTTGATCTGCATCAATGTCACCGATGGAAGCCAAGCAGCAATCACTAACATAATGGAAGTGAATTTTGCGCAAACCTTTGACTTGTTGCTTGAGTTGTTTAATCTGAAGATACCAATTGCGTAGCAGCATATGACAGACGTAAGGAATTCCAAAGGTCGATAAGCATTTTGGGGAAATCCAAATTTACGCAAATTAGAATGGACAAGGGGGAGCAAGAGAGGTGCCAATATCAAGAGATATCAAGATATGGTTGGGTAATACTTTAGAGAATGAAAATGCATAATATTTTTTCAATTTAGGGGAAAAAACATTGTTGTGCGTCGGCGGAAGTGTGCGCACAAACCAATGCATAATATTTTTTCAATTTAGGGGAAAAAACATTGTTGTGCGTCGGCGGAAGTGTGCGCACAAACTAAACAAGTCGTCGAGCAATGAGAGGAGAATAACTAACGAGTGCAATTCATAAGAGAACGGCCAAAATCACACACACACACAGAGATTTAGGTGGTTCGATAATTGCCTACGTTCACGGAGAGAGGATGGGAAGATTTCACTATATGGAGGAGAAAAACAACGGGTTACAACTCTCTCAAACACTCAAAATAACCCTAACCAATGATCTCTCACTCCTTCATAATATTAATCTCTCTCTCAAAGTGCTCAAATAACTCCAAATTCTCTAATTAAAAATCCTCGAAAACATGTTTGCTATATATATAAACACCCAATCCAAAACATGCTAGGAAAGCAAAACCGGCCTAATAACCTGCTATGTTTGCTATATATATAAACACCCAATCCAAAACATGCTAGGAAAGCAAAACCGGCCTAATAACCTGCTATTAGTTGACTGATGGTCCCTCATTAGTCGACTAATCAATGTGCATCGGTCGACTGATGAGGGTCCATCAGTCAACCGGTCAGAACACCAATTTTGGACCCTGTAATCGTGCATGTTGTCGGTCAACTGATCATGTTCGATCAGTTGACCGACCCGAAACTCCTGTAGAACTTCTTGCGGTCGACTGATCATACCCGATCAGTCGACCGATGAGCCTCCTTCTGTGCATATCTTCTTTTTCTTCTTCTTCGCGGTTTTCAACAAACATATCCAATTTGGCAAATGACGAAATAACTAGTTTGTTGGATGAAGCTTAAGAAAACCCCCAAACCAACAAACCAATAAAATATCATTCGTATGTGAACCTATCAAAAATTTGTGTCATTCAGATTAGCTCCACTACCAAGCCTTTCTTCCAACGTTCTTGTAAGTTCAAATCAATGGACACAAACCATGGCCTATTAACCCCATTATGAACATGATGGAGTTCACGAAATTCAAAGGTTTTAGTCTACGGTGACCCATAGTCCGTGTTGAATAACCAAATGCTATTAGATTAGAGGTCTTCAAATTTCAGTGTAGCACATAGTTTTCATGGGGAAGGATACTTACTCCGAGAGATGGTGACTTCAACCTGCTATATGGCTACCCGAAGCGTCCATTTAAGCAAGCACTATCCACGAGTTAAAACGAACAATCACCAACAACCGCAGGCTAGAAATTTGAGGGGTTCATGAACTTGGATTCTCGGAAATACACCATACCACAATAAAATTTGGGAGAACCTTAAAAGGATATTCCCTTTAATTTGAATTTGTTTAATTTGTGTATATAAAATTATAAGGTTATAACCCTCGATCCTCACACAGCTTCAGGGTTTTGGTGCAGTGTAGGAGACCTTTAAGACGGTATAGTGCAATCCAGGTTCAAATTCCATTGGCCACGTATTTAAAGCATATTTTAAAATATTCTGATGCCTGAGTCCCTATTTTTCTGCCCATGAAAATGGCGCTCAACAAGAGAGCCTTGTATCCCATCTCTACTTCAGGCTGACCCCAAATGCGTTCGGGTCAACTTCCAACTCTAGTTAAAGATAATGGGGAGCTTCAATTATCACCTAATCCCTTGTAGCCCCTCATTCATAAGGAATAGAAAAACCTTGGATGAAAATAACAGAAAAAAACAGTACACAGCTGCTAAAGAAATGTCAGCGACTCAAATACAGCCATATGCTTCACTTAGAGAAAGTCACTATTTTATGATGATTTGAGCATCCTTTTGTTTTCCCGCGTCTTGTAAAGCTGGAACCAAGTTCTTATTCTTAGTGCGACCACTGGACCACTGGACGCTGATGTCATCAAAGAAAACATCAACTAGCTCAAATGCAGCTAGATTCACCATTTGGAACAAATCAGCATTAATTTGTATTAAAATGGTTAGAGCGTCTTTGATTGCTTCCCTTCCAGTCTAAACGGCAAGTAAAAGATTCTCTCTCTTACTAAATGCTGATGATAATTAAAAAAAAATTCAAATATCTCAAATGCTGAAAGGTTCATCAATTAGAGCAAGTCAAATAACAGTTGTCTTATAAAATTCAAAGCATCTTCTTGCTGTCCCTCAACTTGTAAAGACCGCAAGTGCAAAACCATCCTCCTACTTAATTACTGAATTCCCTTATTTTTGAGTAGGAAGGTGGATTCCTATTTTGTTTATTAAAGACTACTGTGGGAAAATGGCGACAGCATGCCCAACATCTTAAAAACTAGAGAAAATTGGATCAAATGATTACCTGACATATGGAGAAAATGGACATTGAGCTCATCCTCTGAAAGCTCATGTTAAGAAATAAAACCTCAATCTTGGTCAAGATCAGCTCAGCTCGTTGCAGCGGTGAACAAGTCAGTATTTTGCTAAAAAAATCAGAGCATCTTCCTTCTTTCCTGCAATGAACAAAAGCTAGCTATCCATTCCAACTTACCTTAGTTTACAAGACATTAAAAAAAAAAGTCTTGTGATACCATAATCTAGATATAGCTGGTCCCCCTACTCGAGGCATTTCACATTACTTAAACTTTAATTTTATGTTTTCAAGTCTATAAGTATGAACCAAGTTTCTGTGCATGCAGACACTCAATCCCAGTAGTTTCATCCACCATGACAGTCCCATGCCTGCCTTCCCTTCTCTTGATCATAAGCTTCGCCTTCCTATTCCTGATCAAGCTCGTAAAACCCCGTAAACCTCAAAATTTCAAATTACCCCCTGGACCAAAAATGCTACCCATCATCGGAAGCATGCACCATCTGATTGGATCCTTACCGCATCATATCCTCCGTGACTTGGCCAAAACCTATGGCCCTCTCATGCACCTGAAGCTTGGTGAAATCTCAACTATTGTTGTGTCTTCCAAGGAAATGACCAGAGAGATAATGAAAGATCATGACATCAAATTTGCATCAAGGCCCAATATCCTCTCTGCCAAAATCATGCTTTACGACCGCCGTGACTTGGTGTTCGCTCCTTACGGAGAATACTGGAGGCAGTTGCGCAAGCTCTTTGTGGTAGAGCTGTTGAGCGCCAAAAGGGTTCAGTCATTTCGATCCATTAGAGAAGAGGAGGCACTTGGTCTCATGAGAAAGATCGGTTCCATGAGCCCGTTGCCTGTTAATCTAACCGAGTTGCTCCATTCGTTTGGAAATGACATGACTGCACAGATTGCTTTTGGAAACAAATGCAAAGATGTTGGCACTTATTTGAAAGCAATGAAAGAAGGATTGGAGTTATCGAGTGGATTCTGCTTGGCTGATCTTTTCCCTTCATCGACATTGATTCGTTCAGTCACTAGGTTGAAGTTTAAGCTTGAGAGATGTCACCATAAGGTTGATAGGATTCTTGAAAGGATCATACTAGATCACAAGGATAAGAGGGGTATGGAGTTCAAAAATGCCGAAACTCTGGAAGAGAATTTTCTGGATGTTCTCTTTAATCTTCAAGCACATGGTGGGCTAGGAATATATCTTACAGATACCAACATAAAGGCAATCATTTTTGTAAGTAATGTTACTGACTAAAAGCCTTTTCTCCTATGCACCCTCCACCAAACCTTAAACTTTGTGTTTTAATGCATTGATAATGCGAAATAACTAGTTATATAATCTTATCTTATAATCTTTAAGTTTACTCATTTTGAGTTCTTTGTAAGGCTCCAGTTCATGTGCTCAAGAGGTTGTCATTTTGAACTGATGATCATATCACGAACTAAAAGTTAAATATTTGAAAGGTCAAACCATACAAGTTGGTAGATGATATAAACTTGAACTAGTCCTAGGCTCAGATCCAATATGCGAAGCTTTAATTTACGATTCAAGCCATTGTATTAAATGTAATGTTATATCTAGTTTTCTTTATTACAGTTTTCTTTTATTTGG